ACAATAATTTCTAGATAAAAAAAAGTACGCTCTACAAGACCTACATGGTTGTTTGACTTCGATGTCTAAGACTGTTCTGAGAAAAAAGTGCCCCGTAAAACCTCATCGCTGAAAAATCGATTTTCTGGAATCTCATTATGAAGTCATACTAATACAGGATGACGGTGCGCTGTAAGGCGTTAATATTCAACTTCTGATTGTGTCGGGGTCGCTTACCTCTAACCAGTAAGTGTTATAAGCTCAACAGTCAGAAGTTCATAGTTGAGAAAAAGGCGAAATTGAATAGTTTCTAGTACAGAAAGTAGTATGACGAGCATGTCCATGAGTTTTTTTAAAGATCAGTTAATAGTCGCCTATTATTTTCGTATAATTTTAGAACTTTAATCAAGAAAGTCTATTCTGGATACTAAGGTTTCTCAAAATTTTATTCAACAACATGAGAAGTTAAATAGTTGTTGATTAATACCCGCTTGTAGAAGGTTTGTGTAACTTTAAAGTTTCAGTCAAGAAACAATGAGCAACTATATTGGACGCATTTATACGGAGTGCTGACACACGATACAACTTGCCTGCTTTTTTGATCCATGCCACCTATATTGGAAGTACTCGATGTACACTACTTTCAAAATGAAGTTGTGAATAGTAATATTTCACAGAAACAAAGCACTTTCTTCTCATTATAAAACGATCGTTTGCACTTAATTTTAATGCAAAACCATCTTAGTTAACATCAAAACTTTTTCTAAAATCTAATGTCCTTTACCTAAAAATGCTTCGGATTCTAATATTGTTAATGATTCTGTACAAGATATAAAACTCCACCAGGCGAATTTCATACTGTCTGGGTATTGTAAATTTAATTTAACACCGCGCCATACTGTTTTCTTAATTGATGGTAATTTAAACAATGCCGTCAATAATAATTTTAAATAACTGAACCACGGTATTAATTCGTGACGATTTCTATGACGTAATGTTTGATTAAGCAAATGATACAAACAACATTCGACTGGTGCCCATTCCATCGTATAAATATATATAGCAGCTGCCTCGTCCTGCGTTAAGCAAGACGATTCCAAGTGTCTACAGTTTTGCTTGGCTCTTTGTACTTTGTCTTTTAAATCATATAAAAACATTTCAATTGGTTCGACAGCTTTTTCAAGTGTGACTAATGGCATTGATTCATAACCAGTTATAGGTAATAAGTCTTGGTTGTTTTGATCTTCATTAGTTTCATCGAAAAATCGCAAGTTTGACATACTGATACTTTTTTTCACGTATTCGCACAAAAAAATGATATGTTTTCATACAATGTGTAAAGTTGGTTATACTTATTTTCTTTTCGTTCTTTGCACTTCTAAGGGATGGTAATGGTAGACACGATGATCACGATAAGCAAGAAAAACTTTTTCTTTCATTTCACATACGATCAGATAAGAACACATTTTTCGGGCAGAATGTAGAAAGAAAAGGAATAAAACAGTACACAAGAATGAGTCACCAGAGTTCTTTTTACTGATGACATAGATCATGCCAAAAGAAAAAGATACAGACATAAAAAGATTCAAATTGAGATCTTTTCTTATATGGCACCATCCCATTTATCAGTAAAATCCCATCAGTCACCTCTCGTACAGTACAGATTTCGTCCAGAACCGACAGCAGGTGGATGTTAAATGATCCATATAAATCATACATCCAAGGAAGAAAGAAAGGCTAGAAATACCCAAAATTTGGTATATTTTCGTCATTTCGTCGAAAACAAAGAACATAGTCAGCTCTGAAGATTGCATATAGTGCGCTATTTATTACTCTGTAAAATAACAAAGAATTATAAGCTTAAAAGATTATTCATTGATCTATGTACTCCAAGTTGTATGAATTTCGGGAAAATGCCCATCTAATAATGTGATTTTTACAAAATGAGAAAAAAGGCAGCTGAAGCCTGCGCAGAACGTTGTCATCCGGAAAACTTTGATTACGGCTAAAAGCTTTCCAAGAGCTATAATATGACCAGTTAGTTTTTCTCATACCGGAAAGTGTCAATACGTAAAACAAAAAATCTATCGGAAAAGTTGGATATGTCGGAGCTTCACAATTTCTTTAATTCGCACTGCTTCGATAATAAATCTTTATTCGATTAATCGTGATTGCAACAAGAGTCAGAACTGCACACTACTCTTTATAAAAAAGGTTTATTACGAAACTTAAAAGGGTCTAGAGAAGTGTAACCATTTCTAAACCCTTTTGGATTTTGTAGAAGACAAGGTGCAGTACGAAACCGTTCTAAGTGTATTGAAACGATTGATCAGTGAGTGCATTTGCTTATTTCGTTATGTTTTCTCATGACTTTTCTCGAAAAATCAAAAATTACAGAAGTTTCAGGTATTTTTTTGGCTCAGTTTTCGCCGCCCTATACAATGAAAACACGTCTAAGCTGCTGAAATGGTCCACTTGCTCAGAAAAAAAACTCCTTGACTTTATGTACTTAAACGGTTTCGTACTGCACTATGTCTTCTATGAAACCTAAAAGGCTTTAGAAATGGTTGCACCTCTCTATACCCTTTTAAGTTTCGTAATAAACCCTTTTGTCTGTAGAGAGTAGAAGAACGCGACTCATTTTCAGTCGAGATCAATCGATAAAATTTCATATCGTCAGTCAGTAAGAAAATCGTTCATTTGTATTAGAAAAATGATAATCTAACTTCAATCGCAATTGTTCAAACAATGGAATAAGAATCGATTAAGCATAATTGAATTCTAAACTGCAACGATAGGTTCCATTTGGATTGGGTGTCAATTGTTTTGATCACCAAAAAAAGATACTTTTGATCACCAAACGCTTTTAGATACAAATGATCACCAAAGAAAGATACTTTTGATCATCAAATTTTCCAGCATCACATTTTTATAC